AGGGAGGGCAATCCAAGTTCAGAGGACACTGAGACCAAAACTCAGAGCATTTTAATCCATTCTGCTTCAGTGGGGGATTTTCACGGGTCTTTTTTCATCCCTGTGTTTGTGTTATGAATGTGGCTTTGGGACATTGCACTGGTTACAGACTTCTCTAGCTTAATTCTTCTTTCCCTGCCCTTTTGGTAGCTTTCCTGGACTGTTCCTCTCAATCTGGGCAGCTCAACCCCCTCCACCAATCTCTCCTGTACCCCAGGCCTCGGTTGCCACTCATAGCCATCGTTCTGTTCACCACGTGATCCTCTCTGTTGCCTAATTACAATGGCTTGCGCTCCTTCCTCCAGCTGCTCTGCTGCTCCATGTCACCTGTGAAGGGGGACACGCAATTCTGCTCAACTACACATCAGCAGATTCTGCCTCTGCAAGATGCATCTCTGCTATTGCTTAGAAACTGGGAGCAAACTTTCAGTCTGTATCTCTGGAGAGAAGCAGGCAGCACAGAGGGCTTTCCTTCCATGTGGGGTGTGAAAATCAAGTCCTTCCACTGGCCACAAAGCCAACCAAGTGTGAGGTGAGGGCTGATCCGGGAGCTGCTCATTTCCTGCAGGCGTAGTGCTATGGAATAGTATTTTATTGACAGCTACCTGGGACAAAGGAAAACCAGACTGACAGCTAAATATATTATCAAAGCACCTCCAGTTCCTGCTTCTCACCAATGTAACAAATAGCAGCCAAGCAAAACCCAAACCCAGCATCCGCAGCCTTTGTCTTTTTGAGGGATTTTCTCTGTAAGAACCGGCACAGACCAGCTGGATCAAGGCATCACAGAACAACCCAGAGAGCTGCAGACAGCATCTTACCTTTTCATCTATAGGCAAAACGGCAGGAGGAGAGAAAAAGTGCAAAGAGAATGGAAGGCAGTGCCTTCAGTCTCACTCACAGACAGCGGCGCTTTGATAACGAACCTGACAGACACATTAGCCACAATTCTGCTTTGCAGCAGGAGCCAAAGAACAGCTCGATGCTGTGGTGCTGCTCCTCAGCATCCAAATGCCTCTCAGGACCCCAGCCCACAGCAGCAGCCAGCCCAGGGCGTGGGGATGCAGAGCACAGCAGCATTCTCACTGCTGATGCACCTGTTCTGCATCAGATGTTTTTACCCAGGGCAGAATTTCCTACGCAGAAATAAACGTGTATCAAGTCCGAAATTCATCCTCTTCTGAGGGGTGGTACTTCAATAAAGGAAACAGCCCAAGCACTCACCAAGCCGGCTGCTCCTGCAGCTCTCCCCAGCACCACATCTGTGTCCTCCTTACTTCAGCCAACACTTTGTGTGCTTCCTTTGTGCACCCCCGGGATTATCAGCCACCTACTTCTCGAGGAAGCAAATCTGCCTATTGACGTGAAAATGTGTAAAGCAAAGATAAGGCCGTGGAGCTACCTGGGGTGCGAGCTCAGGGCTGACGAATGAGTTGCAGAGCTGTCTCTCAGATCTATTTTGGGTCAGCAGCGGATGGTCAGAACCCTGTAAGAGAAATTATGTTGTTTGGCATCTTGGGGAACTTCCCCGTGGGCAGTCCCTTTCTCTGGACTCACAGATATTATTACTATTGCTCTGCTCTCAGCTTGTAATCCTGCAAGGCAGACGTGGACTGAATGGATACACAGAAACTCATGGTTTTTTTCTCCCTGTAAATGCAGCTCTGTCAGCCTGGTGTGGAAAAAAAGGCTGTGATGCTGCCACTGCTGCATTGGTTCATTCACTGCATGCGTTCATTCATGCATCTCACTGAAGCCACGATACATGAGAGCCTTGGCTTTAAGTTGTCACCCATGTTCTTCATGACACAGCAGAGAGGAACAGAACACTTCAATCCAGAAATGCATGTCAAGTTCCTTTATCACTCCTTTATCACTCCAGACCACCGATGATGCAGTTTTTATGCTCAAGAGCTGAACCAAGCCAGACCCAAGCATGTCATCTGGGACGCACTTCTCCTTGGCTCTGATAAGATCAGACTTTGGCAGCAGTGCATAAAGATTTCCTGGACTCCAGACAACCCCAAGCTGCAGCAACAGACAAAGCGTGTGCTCATCTACACGAGCGCTGTGTGTATGTGCATGTGTGGCACAGATGATGGACAATAAACCCAGCTTCGTGTGCCAGGCTCCCTGCAAATAAGGAGCCACTGGGTGATGGATTGGCTTGGGAAGGCCTGCAGCAGAATGGCCAGGGTAGGTTCCATGGTAGCCGACGTGCAGAGAGCTGGCTGGAGCCAGGAGGATGGCATTGTACAGATAAATGAGATTTCCCTTCCCTGCTGGGTCTCATTCCATCTGGTTTTCTGTTTCTGGAGGCAAATGCTGGGAAGCTTCACACACAGTCTGCCAAGAGAAGACCCTCCCATTTCAAAGGGGTCCCCCCAGCTTTCCAGGGTCTCCAAAAGCAGATGGGAAATTCTGAATGCACCCTCGTCTTTTCCTCCCCTAGGCACACGTAATTTCACTTTGCTCATCTCCCACATTTCTTGCACACTCGCTTTAATGAAGGATAACTTTATAAAGGGGTGACAGAGCAGCCAAGTCTGCAGCTCACTGCTCTTCTGGGTCAAAGCTGTCCTCCTTTTGCAGGTTGCCTGCATCCATTGTCACCTCTCCTCCCAACCTACCTCTCAGATTCATCTGATTTCGTATCTTCTTCATCCATCCTGACTGGGAGACGTGTTCCTTCTGCAGATATTCAGGCTGGGTGAATCCCACAACACCACCCTTTGAAACATCTGTTTTTTCCTTTTGCTTGTTGCTTTCTCTTTCTGCCATCACCAAGCACTCTCTGCTGCCGGGAGGACCACAGTCACGTTTGCTCTGTGCACCGATTACAAATGGCAGCACGAAAATCATAGAATGGTTCGGGTTGGAAGGGAGCCTTAAAGGTCCAACCTTCTGCAGTGAACAGAGACACCCACAGCCCCATCAGCGCCCAGAGCCCCGTCCAGCTTGAACACAAGACAGGACACAGACTGAAGCTTGCAGAGGGTTCAGCAGAGCTGTAGGTACCTCCACAAAACACCTCCCCGAGACAACCTGCATTCAGCAAGTGCGTTCACCCCAAATGCCCCTCATTCCCCATTAGTGAAGGGCTGGGACTGGGTTTTGCTGCCCAGGTGATCCCAGCTGTGCCCCGTTTCCCTGGTGCCTACCCGCAGAGTGCATCCCTTGGAGCAGGGAGCGCAGCCCAGGGGACAGAGCCGCTGTTTTGAAGTGGAATGAATGAATATGCAGTACCCTCTGCTCCGCTCCCCTCCGGGACCTCTCGGAGCGGCTGACACAGCCATCACAGGCGACCCGCTATCAAACAGAGCCTCCCCTGCCCGATAATGAGATTAAAATAGCAATGAGTCTGAGATTAGCATCTGAGATACAGTCGCTTGCTGTCAGCGCAGCGGAGAGGACTCTCCGGCTTCCCTCACAATGCCCGGTGACAAATGAAACGCGATCAATAGCAGAGCTCATCGCTCAGCCAGAGGAAAGCACCGCCGGTGGGACGGGGAAAGAGGGGCACAGTGACACGGGGAGGTGTGGGGTCACCGCCCTGGGAGGTGTTCACAGAAAGGGCACAGCGTGGATGGGTTGGGGTTGGAGTTGATCTTAGAGCCCGAACGAGTCCGTGATTCTGAGATTTGGCCCCGTCCCCACCGCGATGTGTCCCCGAACAGCGCAGCGCCGGGCTGCGCTGCCTTCCTCCTCTCTGTGTCATCCTCACTCTGAACCCGAACGCGTGGGACGAACGTTTCCTGCAAAAGACAGGAGATGGAAACACAGAACCGTTTCCACTGAGGCTGACGGCCGGCTCCAGGTGTGAATCGGATAAACGTCACTTACAAACCCCACATGATGAATTGCCGGCCGCAACGAGCCGTTAAGCCATGCCAAATTGATTTAATTCACAACCAAGATCTCACTTTTGGCAAAGCAAGAAACGCAGAGAACGACCCGCGGGCACTCGGGGGAACGCGAACACACAATGCCACGGAGGGAGCAGCCTCCCTTCGCCCTTCGGCCACTTCACGGAGCGGTGCGGGCGCTCAGCGGCTCCCGGCGAGGGGAACCGCGCCTCTGTCCGGAGCCGAGAGGGGAAGAAGAGCCGCCCGGCAGGGCAGCGCTCAGCACCGCCCGACGCAGCCCGGACTCGGGGGAGCCGCAGAGCGGGGCTGCTCCGCCAGCACGGTGACAGCGGGGGCGGCTCGGGAGCAGGCTGCCCCCATCCCCACCGCTTCCCAAAGCCGGCGGTGCCGGGATCCCCGCAGCCTTTGTCTTCTCCCGGTGAAAGTGCCCCTGTACCTAAGAAGCAAAGGGAAAGCGGCTCAGCGGAGCGGCCCCCCGGTGCTTACCTGTGCTCGGCTGCCGGTGGGCAGAGCAGGGCAGGGCTGTGCCGGGGTACGGGTGTGCGGACCGAGGAGGACGAGGAAAAGGAGAAGGAGGAGGAGGAGACGCGCGGAGCCAGTGGGGGAATGCGCGGCCGGAGCGGGGACGCCGGGACCCCGCGGGCTGCGGGGCGGTGGGAGGGGCGCGGGGTGCCCGGGGCGGGGACGCGCGGAGCGCTGCGGGGGTGCGCGGCTGTGCCCGGGGCATCGTGCGGAGAGGGGGGAGATTGAGAGGGAGAGCCGACAAAGGCGGGGACAAAGGCGGGGGGACCCCGCAACCCGCGCGGCGGAGGCACCGCGGCTGCAGCCGGGACCCCGCGGGGAAAGCGGGCGGCGAACCGCGCGGCAGCGGCAGGGCGCGGTCCTCCCGCCGCAAGGGGGCGCTACGGCCGAGGTGACGTCACACGCCTGCGCCGCCAACAGCGCCGGGCCGGGAGAGCTGCGGTACGGGAGCGGTAACGGCGGTGCGCGGCTGAGAGCGGCGTGATGGGGGCGCGGAGGGGCGCGGCGAGCAGGCTGTGCTGAACGTGAGGCGGCCCGGGGGGAAGGAGGTTGGAGGCAGCCCGCGCTGTGTCGGCATAGCGGGGCCGTTCCTCCGTCCTCAGCTCTGGCGGGAGGCTGCGGAGAGCTGGGCTCGGCTCCGCTCCGGGTCGCAGCGACGACGGGCCAGAGAGTGCGGCCTTAAATTGCAGCACGGGAGGTGCAGGGTGGATGTTAGGGAAGGTCTGTGCTCAGAAGGAGCAGGGATGTGCTGGCACAGCCGCACAGGGAGCGGTGGGGTCACCGTGCATGGTGGTGTTCAGTGAGATGAGGCACTGAGGGATGTGGGCACGGTGGGTTGGGTTGGACTGGATGATCACAGAGCTCTTTTCCAGCCTTAATGCTTCTAAGATTTTGCTTAGAGAAAGATAGCAGCTGTTACCTCCCTATTTTGTGAAATAATTCATTAGAGATCTGAAAACCACGTCTCGTTGCAGCTGGAGCAGCTTGGCAGTCGGTAACTAAGCAGCTGATAGGAGCAAGCAGGGCTTGAGAGCTCCGTGTAAGGCATCTGTGTTCCTGGTGGAGCTGGAGGCATTTAAGAACACGTCAGTGGTGGTCTGCATGCACACAAAGAGGATGACAAAAATAACGAAACATTGAAACTTGCAATCAGCAGTTCTGGATGTTGCAGCCTAAAATACACACGAGATACCGACCTGTTGGGATGCTGAGCTCCAGCTGCTTGATTCTTTGATACACAGTGCTCCATTTGGCCACCGAATGTGCTGCCCTTGTCACAAATTCCTGCAGGACAGATTCCACGTTAGGTGAATGATCTGGTGGTGTGGGGTTTGTGAGGAGCAGGGAAGTATGTGGGGTGTGGAGTCAGTGGGAAGTGTAAATCCTGCCCTGAATGAGAAGAGAAGCGCGCAGTGTGAGCAGTGAGACAGAACACGAAAAGATGCTGTCTTCATTTTTTGCACTACTGGTGATTTTTGATCACGAGCTTGAATCTGTCACAGTGAGCGCCTTGGGTTTGTGTACATGTGCTTGTCACTGAGCTCAGAGAGCAGCTTGTTGGCATCAGGGAGGTGAAGCGATCCCTCAGCTGTGTTAAGACCATAAAAGCCAGAGGATAAACATTCTTCTTGTGCTGCTTTTCAGGTTCTGGGCAAGATGACCACGCTCACACGACAGGACCTTAATTTTGGGCAAGGTAATGTGTTTGTGCTGCACTGAGAACTGGATGCCTGCAGGATGCTCCAGCCCTAAACTTCCCTCAGCTAGGAAGGAGACGAGATGTGTGCTGGTGTCTTTTAAAACGTCCTATGAATATGGTATTGCTCTGCAACCTTCAGCATCTTTTACTTCTGTTTTTCAGTTGTTGCAGATGTTCTTTCAGAATTTCTAGAAGTGGCCGTTCATCTCATCTTGTACGTTAGAGAAGTTTACCCTATTGGGATCTTTCAGAAGAGGAAAAAATACAACGTGCCCGTCCAGGTAGGAGACCTTCATGGAGGTCTCACAGCACGAGCAGATTGTGGCCGACAGTAGCAGAGTGCTTCCCCTGCTGCGTGCAGGATGTAACACAAAGGCAGGCTCCCTAGGAAATAGAGATCTTGTCTTTAGATCTCTCTTCTTAGCGTTGTCCTGGTTGGCATCAGAACACAGCTCTGTTTGCTCTCTTTGCTACAGATGTCCTGCCACCCAGAGCTCAATCAGTACATCCAGGACACGTTGCACTGTGTAAAGCCACTGCTTGAGAAGGTAGGATCTTACCATGGACCTGTGCTGGGCAAATGTACTGCAAGTAATTTAGATAGAAAATAAAAGAATGTAAATACTGCTCTCATCTCAAAATGTTTATTTATGTACTTGCCATACACAATATACTTGCTTTTAAAGTGACTAATGGAGAATAAAAACATTCTTAATTCTTCCTTGCAGTCAAGGCATGCTGCTGAACGCTGGCATTCAGTTTGCTTCTAATGCATAAACATGAGGATCAGTCTCTGTATTTTCAATAAGCTCATCCTACACGTGAACTTAAATGTGTTCAAAAGCAGAACGTTGAGTTGAAGCATCCATCTGGCAGGAGAACAGTTAAGAGTGCTGTGCTGTAAGCCAGAAAGCAAAGGTGGTTTGAACACAAGCTTTTATGAGAGAAAAGTGTGACCACACGTCACGTTGCAAACCTTGCTGCCACCCCACATCCTGCATTCTCTTCTCTCTGCAGACATCACACTGCATGTAGAACCTGGCAGTAGGACAGGGCTCAAGGTTTGGATAACTGCTGGCACTGCTCCACAGCAGATAAACGTACTCTACCAGAAGTGAAGCTAATTGGGGGCAGAAGACAGCTTGTTTTAAGGAAGGGCCTTCTCTAACTGCAGTTATTCTTCCAGAATGACGTGGAGAAAGTTGTAGTTGTAATCCTGGATAAAGAGCACCACCCAGTGGAGAGATTTGTCTTCGAAATCACCCAGCCGCCCCTGCTTTCCATTAGGTAAAGATTCCATTCCCATGCTTTCTCACAGCATCCAACCCCCGTGTCCTTAGAGATGTTCTGGAAGATGCTCCAGGCCCCGGTACTTTGCTTTGTGCCGCTAACAACTGCTGTCTCAACAGTTCAGAGTCCCTGCTGTCCCACGTGGAGCAGTTACTGCGTGCCTTCATCCTGAAGATAAGCGTGTGTGATGCTGTGCTGGACAACAATCCCCCAGGTAAGCAGGTGCACACAGCCCAGTGACATGGATCTGTTCTGTGGGAGGTGATTACAGGCAGTGTCTGAGCCTCTGTTGGTCGTCCCCTGATCTGCAGCCTGCCCTTTCTCTTACAGGCTGCACCTTCACAGTTCTGGTTCACACACGAGAGGCTGCTACACGCAACATGGAGAAGATCCAGGTGATAAAGGTAAGTGGTATCTTTGGCTGCCTTGTCACAGGCAAGCCGCAAAGACTGGAATTGAAGAATTCTGGATTCAATGAGGTTAAGGGCTGCTAGATGGCTAGCTTTTACACGATGCAGTTCATGGCTTTGCTTTGAATGTGTTACAGTTTGCACTGGTGAGGTGACTGAGCACTTCTACCACACACCAGCTGCAGGCAGCAGCTGCTTTGATGCCCGAATTAGACTGTGCCAATACTTCCTGCACAGTGCTGTATAACCAAGATGTTATAATTTTGTATAACCAAGATGTTATAATTGCAATATAATCAAGAGAGTAAGGCAAAGCAGACAACGATCACAAAAGAGAATAAGTGGAAGAGCTTACCCTTGGGTTGAGCTCACCAGAAGATACCAAAAGAGGGGATCTCCAGAAGAGATCCTTCCCCTCTGGTAGCCAGCTCTTAAATAGGTCCAGGAGGGGTGGAGCCTGGCTCCACCCCTTCCGGCAGCACAGGTGAATTGAATTGCCTTCACCTGTGCTCCTCTGGCTGACTCAAGGCTCACCTCACGTGATTAATCAGAGGTTCAGGCCGTGACTCAGCAGTTCCCATACAAGTGCCATCCCCATCACTTCACGTACTGACCTAGCACTGAGAAAGTGAGCTCACCTCCTGGGGCTGCTCACCCCTCTGTACATAAAGCTCCTTGTGTTCCTGCCCTAGGATTTCCCATGGATTCTTGCTGATGAACAGGATGTGCACATGCACGACCCCCGGCTTATCCCACTGAAAACTATGACTTCTGACATCTTAAAGGTGAGCAGAGCATTCTGGCCTGAGAGGTGGCTGAAACTACATGTAGTGTGAAGACTTCTCATATTAAAACAGGAAACCTTGTTAATGAGGGGAGGTGCAAACTCTTCAGACTGTTCTCCATCTGGCTATCAAGCAGAAACTGATACTTGTTTTGTCCTCCAGATGCAGCTTTATGTAGAAGAACGAGCCCACAAAGGCACCTGATTTCAACTCTTCCTTTTCTTCAAGCCTCATCAGATCTTCCAGCGGAGTAAGATCTCTCACCAACCATACCTTGATAGCCCAGCCTCCTCAGCTGGCCTTCTGGATGAATGTAGAGCAGCTGCTGCCTCTTTATTTCAAGTGCTCTTACCAGTGTATATAGAACTGACTTGGAATGTGGAGCCAGAGCCTGTTCCCATGTACACTCATGTGTGAGAGTGAGTAGAGGTTTCATTACAGTAATCCCTGGGGTAGGATACAGCTGACTGCGGTCGGCTCTTTGTACAAATCCAGTTCTTGCCTTAAACAGGACATCTCCATTGCACACTGGTAGTGCTAACCAGGGATCTGCTGTGTGCTCCACTAGAGCAATGGTCTGATACCATGCGCGAGTGAGGCCTTATGTAGCATCTGTCCACTGTGACTGTCCCAAGTAGTCTTCAATAAATATCAAGTTTTACTCCAGTTGAAACAGGCTCAATTCTGTCCAAATCAACCGCGCTTTCAGTGAAGAAGCATTTTTATTTTGTATGTAGAGTTTCCATCACCTTTTCACGTCTTCTCTAGGACAAGGCTGGGATGTGTCAGTTCCCATGAAGGGCTGTACCACCTTGGTCTCCCCTTGCCACAGGGAAACCTTCACACAAAAGCTGTTAGAAGCACAGTGGAATGTGTCTGTGCTGCAAGGACACTTGTCAGCTGTCTCACTCTTAGCAGACAGCAGACAAGGGAGAACACTGTTATCCTGCCTCTGTCAAAGGAGATGGAAGAAGGCCTTAATATCAGCCCTGTGCATACAGGGGTAGAAGAAATGGTACACAGAATGTGAGCTGAGCTTGTTGGACAGAAAATTTGGTAAAGCAGCCAGCACAGCACCTGCCTGCTTTCTCCATGCAAAAAGTGCAAGAACACATCTCCAAGTTGTCTGTGGCTTTAACATTTTATATAAGGTTACTGTTCAGTACAAACCAAGTTCTTTGGTAGCACAGTGGTAATATGGAAAAAGGCAGTGCTGTCCAAAGGCACTTAGGTTGTCAGGTATCCACCTTAAGGGATTCCTTCCTCCTCTTTGTTCATTCCAACAGTAACGGGCTGTATTTGGACAGGGAAGGCATCTACCACGTTGATCATGTATACTTACTAAGGAATTAAATATCAGTGACACAGCATATGAGGATAAAGAAGACTGAAGGTGGCATAATGCTGTGAAAGATACATCTTTATGCACGTAATTAAACTGAAACAGTAAAATACCATAGTATTACAGTCTGTTTGTAGCAGAGTCCTCAAGACAAGGGTTGATAATCCGAACTGAAAGATTTTAGCCTTGTTTTCATTAAGTTGTATAAACAAGAAAGAGTTTCCAGTTAAGACTGCTATGTACTTGTGCTACAGCCAAATGCTGTTCACTTTAGGCGTCATATTTAATTGCCCTCGTCTTCCTCCTATGGAAGGGCACCAGGAATTGTCACTGCCACAGTGAGGGAGGACAGATGAAGACAGAAGTCTTTCCAGAGGGCTGGGCCTGCAGAAGTTCTGCTTGCAAACAAGGAGAGCTAGCTGCTCGTATTCCACATCAGCTGTGAAAGACAAAGCCAGGATATTCACCCAGAGAGTACAGGCAAATAAGTGCACCTAAGACCACCAGGTAACAGTCCTGAGGTAAAAGAAAACACTTATATTGTGTCTTCATTTGCCTTCAATGTTTGTGGCCCAATGGTGATGCTGCTGTTTGTCACCCTGATCCCGTACCATCCGGCCCAGAATTGGGTATCTTGGCCTCCATGCTGAAACCAGATGTAACGAACTCCAGCTGGGTAATTGCTGAAAGTGTGGGAAATCTGTAGAGAAAGGAAATTCTGCTTATTTTGTCTCAATAATCCAGCAGTGACATTGAAGGTGAAACAATTCCAGGTATAGAGCCCTGGGCTTAGGAGAAGCTCATTCTAAAATACCTTCCAATAAAAGTATGCATCACATCACTTTCTTTGAGGAAGGATAAAATAAAATAGCCTCCCATATTTGACTCATAGGATTACAGGGCAGAAGGGTAAACATAATTTAAGCTTGGTACGTGACAGAGGTAACAACATAAAAGGGAGTGTACAGCCACTCAAACCAAGCCATTCAAACCAGTCAAAACAAACAAATTAGGAAAAGTAATGTCTGCAATACTGTCACTTACACCCATGCAGGTGTTCTAAAACAAAGCTTTTTGATCCAACATAAACAAGAACTGTGCTCCTGCAACTCGGTTACTTGGACAAAAACTCAAATAAAGAACAGAAACACTTGAAGAAGCCCAGTCAAAATAGCACAGGGGCCCGGGGGGGGAATCTCACACACCTACAAACTGAACCTAGATCTTTCAAAGCTTCTTCAGTGTTGTCAACAGCAAGGACTGGCTTACATTTTGTCTTACGTTAGAGCAACTTGGAGCTTTAGACAAGATTCTTATCACAATGTGGATGTAAAGCTGCCTCCTGGAGTGCTGCTCCTTACCTCTCTCCACATTGCGTCACTCCACTGCTCTATGACCACTGGCTCAGGACAGAACTCCTCAAGCACAATGTAGTTTTCAGAAAGCAGCCTCACTCTGAGCTCATAGCGACAACCACAGTCAAATCTGGCAGCATACCTAGAGAGCAAGGGAGAAATCAAGGAGGAAGGCTGTACACACAGCATTGTTTTCCTTACTGTCCAGAAACAGTCTCCAACTGGAACTGAGGAAAGGGATGTCACCCCCATAGCTATGGAGAGCACAGCTATATTTTCTTCACAGGATTGCCACCTTATAGTCCACTGAATAAACCAAGATTTAGCCTACGCTTTACTGAAGAGCTACAGATCCCAAAGAATGAATGTTATAGCACAAAAAGCTTCAGAGGCCCAGTTTACACCGAGGCCCTAATGCTAGAAATTCTAGTATTCAGTTCTTACCAGTCCTTGACTACAATTTCAGGCCGTTTCTCATCCATCAGCTCATTCCAGTACCCTTCTTCCTGCAGGGTAATCAGTTGAGACTTGAAGCATGGCCTGCAACAGAAACAGAAGCATTCAAAAGCATCTCTCAACATCAGTGCTTTCCCTACCAGACTGACTCTCACTGAATGCTCACCCAGACCCTGAGTACCCACGAGGCTGACAGGGCTGAGGTGTGCCTTCATCCAAAGTTCGAGCAGAAATAAACTGCTCAGCTTCACCCCAGATAAAAGGAATCCAACAGAGTGGATCAAGAAGGGTTCCTATGCACACATGACAGATATAGATTATGGAAAAGCAGTTGATCTTCCACTGTTGATGGCTTTTAGTGCAAGCTGTTTGCATAACAAAACACCTCATGCTTCCAGAGGTTAAAGCTTTGGCTTCGTCAGGTGAAGATATCTGATCAGTCTGCCAGACCTCAACTTCTGTCCACCACATTCAGTAGAAGAATGGAGAAATTCAGCACACGATGTGATTCACTTCTGCAACACATTGCTCTCTTTAGATTGAGGAGTATTAAGAATTAAAATCCTTTTTTCCCCTCTCTCTGGGATAAGGCTCCTTGTCCTGCCTCGCACCTAACCACAGCGCTCCTGCAGCCAGGAGGAAGGAAGCAGTTTTCCTCCAGTTGCACTTTGCAGCTCTTACCCAAACGAAGTGACGAAGTATTTGTGGACTTCTGAGTCTGGCAGCTCTTTCCCCAGAGGTCCAGGCAGATCCTCGATCTTCCACTTATCTCCTCCATTCTGATCAAGTTTCCAGTGCGTAAAGTTCTCTAAAAACAGATTTCAAAGATCAGCATTAGGACTTCAGTTTTCTGCAGCATCTCTGCTTTCCTTAAAGAGAGCTACTTATGCTGGTGAATTTTCAGCTGTGTTTCTCTTGTACTTAAGGGTGACCTTTAGCACTGTACTGTCATTACTTTCAGCGTGGCTGTCAGCAGCTGTGACAGAGCTGGGCACAGCACTGCAGGTGGGGACAGAGAAGGACAGTTGCCCTCCCTGCCCACTGCCACCCCTCTGCTAATGCAGCCCAGGATGCAGTCGGCCTCAAACCAACTGCTGATGGTTTCACTGCTGCATTTCATCGTGCAAACCCTGTGACTTGCAGGGATTTAACCCAAACAGCATTATGCAGCGTATCCTCGTGGATCTGACTCAGTGCCACAGCCCCAGTAATAGTGAGGCACTGCAGGGCACGTCCCAACTGCTGGGAAACTCCATAGGCCCTCTACCAACAAACCAACCTTCGGCTCGGGGGTTTTTGATCAAGTTCCTCTTCAGCTTGCACAGCAGGTAGAACACCTTCCAGTCAGTGATGCTCCTGTCCAAGCTCTGCACGTAGAACCCCTCGCGTTGGCACTTGCGCTTCCAGAGGGTGGCGAGGTCCACCACGTCTCGCCATTGGGAGCACACCAGCCTGCACGCACGGAGCAGATCCCGGGCGGGCAGCAGGGACAGCAGCTCCACCAGCACATCCTCGGGGAGGTCACTGATGGTGGCCATGGCTGTGCAGAACCGACGGCAGACGGAGGGTTTCCAGGCAGCTGCGATACAGGGAGATCAGCGGGGGTTGCAGGGCTCAGAACGAAACCAAAAGCGGAGCTGTGCGCTGGGCAGGGGGGGAGGAGGGGCGAGCGGTCCTCGCTATCGCAGCCACAGCCCCACCTGCGCTCCGGACGCGGATGTGAGGCCGCGCTTCGCTCTTCCGCAGCGGGCGGGGCGCGGGGCGGGGAGCGGCGGGGGGGGACTGAGGGGAACCGGGAGCGACGCGGGGAGCAGCAGCAGCGGCGAGCACGAGGTAGGAGCGGCGGGACGGGGTGATGGGAGAGGGGATGGAGGAGAAGAGAAGAACGACAGCCCTGGGTGGGGTTACCCGAGGAGTTCTGCTGAGGGTCGATCGCATTTTGCCCTTTAAAATCGCAGCATGGAGGGGAAAAGGGGAGAGTGAGAAATCCTCGTTGTTTCTCCGTAAAAATAATAACAGGGATTTTTTAAATGATGTTTTCCCTCTGATGGCTGCGGTACAGAGACAAGAGAGCTCGTGATGCCGTGTCTCTGTTGCTTCCCTGCTTGCCCCACTCGCCGTGCCGTGTTTATGGCAGCAGCACGCCGGGATGCTCTGCCTGCCCTGCTCAGTGATTTTTCTCTCCCGCAGTTTCGCTCTGTGCGATTCAGTGCAGCTTCCCCGCTTCAGCGCACGGCTGAGACAAAAGCGGTGTCAGTGCGTCCCGCTCTCTGTGCACGGCGCTCCTCTCTCCCCCGCTCTGCAGCACTCTGCCCCGAAGCCCGCAGCGCTCAGAGCGCCCATTGCTCGCGCTGCCGCCTGACTGCGGTTATCGGGCCGTAGGAAAAGGAAGATTTGAAGCGCTCAGACCCGTGCTTTACGCGGCGTCGTGACTAAGGAGATTCAGTGCTAACCCCGAGGGAAGGAAGGCCTTTCGACAGCCAGGCCCGAGTGCAGCCCAAGCAGAGGGGACCGATTCTG